CTGGTCGTCAGTAACCCCTCACCAAGCCGAGGGCCGGTCCCCAAAGACAGGGCCTGGTCATCAGTAACCCCTCACCAAGCCGAGGGCCGGTCCCCAAAGACAGGGCCTGGTCATCAGTAACCCCTCACCAAGCCGAGGGCCGGTCCCCAAAGACAGGGCCTGGTCGTCAGTAACCCCACAAGGGCCGGTCCCCAAAGACAGGGCCTGGCCGTCAGTAACCCCATGGGGGCCGGTCCCCAAAGACAGGGCCTGGTCGTCAGTAACCCCTCACCAAGCCGAGGGCCGGTCCCCAAAGACAGGGCCTGGTCGTCAGTAACCCCACGGGGGCCGGTCCCCAAAGACAGGGCCTGGTCGTCAGTAACCCCACAAGGGCCGCTCCCCAAAGACAGGGCCTGGTCGTCAGTAACCCCACAAGGGCCGCTCCCCAAAGACAGGGCCTGGTCGTCAGTAAACCCACAAGGGCCGCTCCCCAAAGACAGGGCCTGGTCGTCAGTAACCCCACAAGGGCCGGTCCCCAAAGACAGGGCCTGGCCGTCAGTAACCCCCCCCACCGAGCCGAGGGCCGGTCCCCAAGGACAGGGCCTGGCCGTCAGTAACCCCACACTGCCGTATTCTCCTCCAGGGACACCACGTCGGAGTACGAACACAAAAAAAGCTGCTTGTTTTTGGAAAGTGATCCTATTCTAGTAGGGAGTGAATGCCCCTAGGTTCAGAAAAAGAAATAACTAAAAAAAATTAAACAAATAAAAAATGGAAATGGAAGAATAGTAAATTTATTTGTATTTGGAAAAACTACATTTTTAAGACAAACATTATACATGCTTGGACATATTTTTCTGTCCAACTGTTGTAGATTTTACTTGAGTTAAAGTACACCTCTCAAAATGTTTATGTTTTATATCACTATTAGGGAGGCACAGTGGTCAGTGTGGAGTTTGCATGCCCTCTCCATGTCGTCATGGGGTTTCCTCTGGGTTCTGAAGTTCCTCCCCACAGTCCAAAAACATGCTAAGGTAAACTGGAGTTGCCAAATTGTCCATAGGTGTGATTGTGTGAGTGAAAGGTGTATGTGCCCTGCAATGCATTGTTGCCCTGTCCTGGGTTATTCCCTGTCACCTGTAGCTTCCAGGATAGGCTCCGGACCACCAGGACCCTGCACGTGAAAATAGATGGATGGATGGAGTTAAGTAGTTTTTAGTCAATCGCCTACACAACAAATCAGACCTAGCCAAACTGACAATGTCAGAACGCGGCAGTGTTTCCCCATCAATGAAGTAGCTGATTCCTGCGGTGGACTCCAAGAAAAAGATCCTTTGGATGAAATGATCTAGGGCAGCAACATACAAACTTGCGGTCTCCACAGACACAACCTATATCTATTCTGCCTATAAAGTAAAGTAATAACACCTTCAAAAGACCTACATCTGCACAGCACTTTAAGTACTGAAATCTCTGAGCATGTTGTCAGCACAGGAGTCTCTTATCCAGTCAGCACTGCTGTGATCCAGAGTCTATTCCAGAATGCACCGGTGTATGAGAGATAGTCCTGTAAGGGACAACAGGCACACGCCCATAAGTACACATTCACAAAATTTACAGACATCTCCTCACCTATCATGCAGGTCTAGTGACCTGGATAGGAAACCTGAATAGCTGGAGGAAAGCAGTCTTTCTCACCCGCCTTCACTGAATAGAGCTAAAACCCTAAAGCCCTCTTTCATACCCGCCTTCACTGAATAGAGCTAAAACCCTAAAGCCCTCTTTCACACNTCTTTCACACCCGCCTTCACTGAATAGAGCTAAAACCCTAAAGCCCTCTTTCATACCCGCCTTCACTGAATAGAGATAAAACCCTAAAGCCCTCTTTCACACCCGCCACCCTCACGGAATAGAGCTAAAACCCTAAAGCCGTCTTTCACACCCACCTTCACTAAAGCCCTCTTTCACACCCACCTTCACGGAATAGAGCTAAAACCCTAAAGCTCTCTTTCACACCCGCCTTCACTAAAGCCCTCTTTCACACCCACCTTCACTGAATAGAGCTGAAACCCTAAAGCTCTCTTTCACACCCGCCTTCACTAAAGCCCTCTTTCACACCCACCTTCACTGAATAGAGCTAAAACCCTAAAGCCCTCTTTCACACCCGCCTTCACTGAATAGAGCTAAAACACTAAAGGCTGTGTTGCCAACAGGCCTGGGAATCTAATAATACGAGTAGCTTAATTAGCTACCTGAAGGATGTGGTTGGCTTCCATTCAACATACTACACAGGAAAAACCCAGCAAGACCAGCCAACGCCCCCCCCCACACACACACACACACACAGGGACCTTCCACCCAGAAGGCAGCCATTACACCAGCACCACCCACCTCTCTCATGTGGCCGTTTGGGATCAGATACTGGTTCCAGCAGGCTGAAGATAAATTGCCTTTTGCTGTAATTTCTCTTATCTTTCTGCCTCAATTGCAGAACATTCAAGGCTTCTGCTAAAAAGATGTTCGGTTTGTCAACTGGCTAACGTGGACACCTCAGAAGGTCAGTCTGAAAAGATGCCGCATGAGGAGGTGGGGGTATGGGGCAGCGGGGGGCACGTACATCAATCATGTTCCTCCAGCCGCTGGTCCTGCCACTCAGCAGGGGCTCTGCTCGGGCCAGGCCGGCGTTGTTGATGCACACATCCACACCCTGGTGCAGAGTCTTGATGGCAGAGAACATGGAGAGAATCTCCTCCTCGTTAGACAGGTCACATTTGTAGGGGATCAGGGTTCCAGTGTAGCCAGCACTCTGACACTCTGCTGCTAGCTTCTGTAACCAAGAAATGAACAGTATTAGCTTGATGCTAATGGGATTGTATACTAATGTATAGCTCGACGCTAAAGGGATCCTATAGTTATGTACAGTGTTGGGGAAGCTACTTTTAAACTGTAGCTTTTCAAGCTACAAGCTACTTATGTTTAAAAGTAGCTAAGCTAAAGGCAAGCTACAGTTTTAATATAGTGGTTAGCTAGACGACAAGCTACAGAGAAAAAGCAGGTAACTACATCGAAGCTATTTCATCTGGTAATACTTAATATTTGTGCTGTAGGATACTATTCAAGCAAATTAATTAAATGTGAAACGTGATGTTAAAAGTAATATGAAAATCTACATTTGTTTTAAACAATGTGATGTCAAATTACAATAAGGTTTCAAAAAGTCTCTTAGTTTGGTATAAACCCAGAGTACTTCACAGGGCTGTGTGAAAATTAGAGGGGTAACAAGAGAAAAGATTTTGATAATCTGTCCAAGAACCAAGTGCTCCTAGGCATTTTAATGAAAGTGTCTAAAATATTGTTTGCCGTGAATTATTATTTTTCAACCTTTTAACATCCATCCCCAGAGTATTCAAGCAAAAAACACTAATCAGAAACACCTGGCAGCTGAAAATACCCTGTCTTTGTAAAGAGAGAAAAATAATACAGGCTGTTATTGAAGTATTAATCAGATGACACAAGCGGAAAAACTGCAGATCTAGGGGCAGGTGTCGACAATGAAAACAGCAACAGACATAGATAGGGTGGAGAATGTAAGTAGGCGGATGGAATCAGTATGAGAACACCTGACCACACCCTCAACACAATCTTATCCATTTTAACTGGGCAATTGCCTAGTAGGTAAACAAAACTCAAGATAACTTCCTAAAGCAAGCTGCTAATAACCAGAAGATAACATTTAAAATGTACAGAGACTTTTAGGGACAATATGATGCAGACAGAAAACATGGTGTCTCAATGTGTCCTTATCAGCACAGGAATTTACAGCTTTACAGCATCAACAGCTGCAGAATTTTCTGTACAAAACACAAGATGAGAAGGAGGAACAAACCAGACGTGAAGCGGCCATTGCTGTGACACAGCAAGAGCATGTGAGTGACAGCTGAGTGACAGCTGAGTGACAGCTGCTGCAAACTGATTCGGCGTACATTCATGCCTCCAGGGTCCATTAAAAAGGCATTACTTAGGTTCTATGTGCTGTCAAACTGTAAGATTTACCTAGTAATACACGACCAGCTGCAGCAGAAGGATTAACTCCACGATGCTTTGGGCAGGGAAATGTTGTGAAAGTGCGCTACACAAATAAAACTGAATTGAATTGAAGTACAGTGATGATGAGCTTCAGCTATGGGGGTAAAGGAGATTTATGAATAACTGCCCGATTTCAAAAGATTCACAGGATAAAAAAGCAGCTTCAGGGATAGTTTTGTTAGTTAAGGATCTGACTGTAAGTGCAGTGAAGAGAGCATTATCAAATTGGGGATATTTGATCCTCATAGTACCTCTAACAGGAAGAAAATTTGAATCTCTGTGGCTCCAGCCACACACATTAAATTTAACAGGATACCTTTCCAGTAATCAGCTGGAATCTGATTCGTTTGAAAAAGATCCATGAGAAAAAGGCAAACCTATTTCCGTCAGTTGATTTTACTGTTCATTTTTCTGTCCTTGAATGGATCATCACCACCTTATATTTCTTTCATGTATACTTCCCAGCAAGGTCACTTAGGTCTTCTGACCGCATTATATTGTTATTCCTTTTTCTTACTTTTACAACTTTCTTGCCTTTCAATTCAAATATGTTTATATGGTTTCTGTGTTCTACAGCACTTTGGTCAAGATGTTGTTTGAAAAGTGCTTTGTAAATAAAGTTGCCAGTGACTAGATAAGTGCTGATAAGTGACTTTTTCATTAATTACTATAAATAGTCTGATTTTGAGGACCAGGTGTGAGATGGAAATCTGTCTATTCATGGTACAGTGGCTCAAACATACCGCAGGCCACACTGCACTACATTAATTAGCGGTTTGCTGAACTTAATAAATGTTCAAATAGTGCTTGGTTATCACAGCTCTGCCCCATAAACCACAGCTGTAGGCCAGGTGCTAGGTCCGAGGTTGACTCGGGATAATCAGAGCATGCTCCCGCGGTGCATGGGCTGCACCAAATACGGGGATCCATCGCCGGATTGCCAATAGTGCAGGTTGTGGTGGGGGCTGGTACAGCAAGGCATGCCCAAGGGGTTGTGCCATCAGACATCAGACTGGCTGGTATGATTGGGGCAGGGGGCGGGCAGAAGTGCAGCCCCACTCAGGGTGTGCCCTCACTTGGCCCAGTTGCCTGAGCATGACTATCCCCCCACTGCACTCCCCCGCTGGTCACTGCTCACATTGCGCTTAACGATCTGGGTGACACTTTTGTCATCACCGTGTGACGTTTTGCATAGGAAGAAAAGTGCTATGACACAGCATAATGGAGTTCATGGTTAATGTCCTTTTGTAGCTTATTTGGAGTTATTTTGGAAGCGATGACGCAACGGCCTTACAGATTAATCAAGTATACAATGCAGCGATTTTCATTTAATCATGCTGCATGTATGAATATAGTCCTGTATTTTACCACATGGCTGAGTTTTTGTGTTAGACATCCAGCTGTTTTTTGTCAGCCCAAATTTCCAGGAAACACTGAGCCTCTGCCATAGACCAAAGCGACTCCTTTGCTCAAAGTCCTTCCGGGTCCAGTTCATGTATAATGCATATGTGCACATGCCAGTCGCATCATTAATGTGATGTCTGTGTTCCGTGCTCGGGCACGATCAGCGATCACACTGAATGAATGCCACGTCCGAGTGCCACCTCTTCCTGCAGCTACGCACACCTTTGCTCTGTCTCCAGTCACGTCTTGTATGCATATACTCATAAACACACTCATACACAGAGTAATTGAATGCCCCCCCAGGCCCCCTAAAAGGTGATGTACTATTCTAAATGGGAAATGCATGTAGGACTGTTCAGTCTCTTAGCATGGGTCTGGTTCCCCTGCAGACAGAATCATCATGTAAGCAAACTGAACCCCTGTGCATCAAAAGCAACGCAGACAATTAATAGGATGCAGAAATGACAGCCGTACTTCACCTTCTTTGCACACCTGGAGGATACTGTTGTAGAGAATAATCACCACACTCATCAGCACAGGGATGGAACCGTTAGGTTACAGAAACATGCCTTCGCCATTAAGAAACAGAAGCATGCCTTTTCTGTTGGACGCGCCTTTACTGTTGTACGCGCCTTCACTGTTGGACGCGGTTTTACTGTTGGATGTTTTACTGTTGGACGCGCTTTTACTGTTGGACGTGCCTTCACTGTTGGACGCGGTTTTACTGTTGGACGCGCTTTTACTGTTGGACACACCTTCACCGTTGGACGCGCTTTTACTGTTGGACGTGCCTTCACTGTTGGACGCGGTTTTACTGTTGGACGCGCTTTTACTGTTGGACACACCTTCACTGTTGGACGCGCTTTTACTGTTGGACGTGCCTTTACTGTTGGACGTGCCTTCACTATTGGACGTGCCTTCACTATTGGATGCACATTTACTGTTGTAATACGTGGCTACATAGTAAAATTACGGATTTGAAGTAAAATCAAAACCTGTTTGCCCAAGATCAGGAACATAGTTAGCTTGAACCCCTCTGGAAATTTGCTGCCTCTTACAGGCGGCAAAATCTACCAAGGAAGAACCCCCCCCCAAGTTGACAGAATCTATTGTGGGTCCCCCCCCACCCCTAGTCAGACCCCCTGGTCGGCAAAGTATACATATTCCAAGGCGGACCCCCCCCCAATTCATTTTGGCTACAGGCCAGCTTAGTGCTGTCACTTACTGGTTACGTATTCCCAGTTCCCCCCCCTCCCCCAGAACACCCACATCTCAAAGTGAATGATGGCTGCAGTGTTTTAGGGCTGTACAGACTACTGCCACATGCTATCACCATACATGTCCTTCTCGTTTCCATACCTGTATCATATCCCAGAACTTGTCACCAGTCAATATTGCTGTACTCCTTTTCTAATTAATTTATAGTGCCGTTACATCAGTTGCTCATATTTATGACATAATATTAGCATCCATTGTAATATATGTTATCCTGAACAGCAGCAGAAACTATGCCATTGCACTTATTATGAATCAGCAGGGCCTTCACTAAACATGTCCTCCATGCTGTAACAGAATTACAGTGCAATGGCATAAATTGATTTAGTTTTAAATGGTGAGCCTCAATGCATAGTGAAGGATGTCAGAACTACAGAATAAGTGCATCCGGCATTGATGTCTGTGTTGGATTTGCTTCTCCTGTTAGAGATGTGGGTTTGCTGAGTAACCGACGCCTTCGTGAGAAAAGTGAACCTATTTCGGGACCCTGGTCAAAGACTCACCGCCGGGCCGAGCTCCTTCAAGCACCTTTAATATAACACAATGTGGCTTGTCACATTTGATATCTGTTCTCTTTACGAGAGCGACTTGCGCTGAACTCACAACACCAAAAAAAAAGATAAAAGGGGCCAGATGTGATGGACAGAGAGAATCGAGGAAGAGGATGAAGGACGGATGTGAGACCAAGCATCCTGCTGTGCTGGAAAACAAGCGACATGGAAAACCATACTGACTGCTCTGATGGAGGCCTGGCGTTTGACCCCCACGTCCCCCCACCTACGGTCAAAGCATTTTTAAACTTGCCTAAACAGGGAGCAGCAGCTCAAACATCAAACATTCATGCCGTGCACACAAAACACAGATTTTTCTGAAAATAATAATAAAACAGCACTGTTTTTTTTCCCCCTCATCCATTCTTTGCGATGCAAAAAAAAAACAGAAATCAGAAACAGAAAAGTTGGAGCCCTGGAACAGGAATCCATGGAGAAGCTGCAGTTTATCCACGTGCTGTTGTTCATTCCACGCTGAAATGTGACACTTTGCAGCTGAAGTTGTAGGACA